AAACGAATATCCAAAAAAGAGCTCAGTTTGACACAATCGTAACTCATTTCTGTGATATGTGTGCAGCCTGACTTACCGTTCACAACCCACGGTCACCAACACGATCGGTAAAAGAACCGATGTGTCCAAACACCACATCCAACTGTTCTAATGTAGATGGTCGTCCGCCTATATCGGAAAGACAAAGAAACAACCGCGCTATCGAATAGCCGAATGCACCACCCTTTGTCTTGAGAAAACAATGCGTAAAAATATTTGGAAGTATGTCGTCATTGGTGACACGTAAGAAACTCAGATCGTCCATCACATCCAACACCGTGTCGAAGTGAACTGCTCTGTCATTCTGAGAGAGNTGAGAGAGTGCGAGAGAGTGAAATGCATTCGAAAGCCTCAAAATCCACGAGGCCTCGGAAATACACGAGCCGTTAGCCATTCATAAATACCACCCCTAACTGTGTGGATAGCGTATATAACCGATCACTTTGACATTACGTTGGTGTGAAAATGTGTTTGATGAGTGATGTTGATTGCAATCTTTCTCAATCTAAGATTCTGCATATCCTGACCACATAGTATTGATCGTTTAAATTGCACGTCTGCAGACGTGGTAAGATGATCCAGTATACATTAGGCAAACCTGTGACTTTGATTCTTCATTCGAATTAGCTACCGGGTAAACTCTGCTGCTCAGATCGATTTGAAGCTTTTGCCAATTCACGGGACTAAACAACGCATGCCTTGATTGATTAGAAACAATTTTTAATAGAGAATCGAATGAAGAATGCACGATCTGTTAATCAGAACTCGATACTCTATCAGGCCCACCGAACCACACAGCTTCATCAAAACAGAACAATACCAATGAACTACAATTAGCCGAATCTCGTGAAGAATCTAAATATCACAAGTAATTCCACAGATCCATAACAATGTGTACCCGATTTACATAAACAACAACGGGTATAACAAATGAGAAAACTATTTCTGTGGGGAGAAGTACACACACACAACTGGTAACAACAACAAGGAGGGTGACACACGTTTTTATAAATCACATCACCTTTAGAACATGGTTTCTGTTTTGCGGGGGTTTTAACGTCAACCAGGGAATTGATTGATTTCAAAAGTGAGAATGAGCCACAAACAACCAGATCCTAAATCGAATAACCTACCTTCGGGATCGATCTAATCCGAGCACATGTCTGGCAATGTGGATCCCTCCATACATAAGCAGAAGGAACTAGCCATATGTGTGCTACGTTATTTGCCCACCCCAACTTACCCCACCTCCCTGGCACTTCAACAGAATGTGGTAGTACAATGGAATAGCGAATTAGAACGTTTACTCGTAGTTGCTGAACCGCTCGGTGTTTCATTGAGCTGTGACTTAAACGAATCGATGATGGTTGGAGCACAAACAACTTGAGGTGGAAGAAAGTGGTTCCAGGTATTACAAACTCTGAGGCTGATAGAGTGATGCCTGCAGTCTAGTCGACTCTTTTGGAGCAAACGAATGGAGTCCGAGAATTTGCAGCCTTGCACCATAGTTCTGAGATTGTAACCCTTTGGCCATTTTGGTTGCTGTTCTTTGCGGACTTTCGGGTGTCATTGATTTCAAGCCTGTATAGCATACTCAGTGTTTGGTCTTAAATATGCTGATATCAAACGAGGATAGATAGATCTGCTTCGAATTATCCGAAAACATGTTTTAGCAAACTGACATGCTTTATGGCCTTTGATAACGTTCTTAAGCAATGAGTGCAACATCCTACCTCCTCAGGAACAGTAACTCCCAAATCCTTTTCGTTTGGAGAACCCGGTAATGGCTGATTTCCAAGTAAGTATGAAAATCGACCCCTGTGACGTTCAGAACCTATCAGTTGAATAAAGCCCCTTTTAGGTCTGAGTTGATGATGATTAGGAAATAATTTGTCTCTTGAACGACCAGCCATTATCGGTTTATGATAGCGGTTAAACAAA